AAGCTTTCTATCTTACGTCTCATTGTCTAGTGGTTGGTAAGGGCGACCGCAGATCATGTGTTCCCGAGTCGGGTCAAAGTCAATTATAAGGTTTTTCTGTCAATACATTCTCAGTATCAGTACGGAGTCAAGAAGTTGGCGGTGTTTTACCCCTGCTCTTTGGAAAACATGTAAAAGAGTTGGTTCTGCGCCTGATCTCTCTACGATCGTGTCGGATTACCGTTACGTCTACCGGACTATGAGAGTGAGAGAATACAAAGTACAACTGTGCTTGCGAACCCACTCGTGCGCAATAACCCTGCCGTGCGCAGATGGTCAGTCTGTTGAGATTGGTCGCCGTAAACGAAATTTGTTCTGGAGAAAATTAACGTTTTGAGTCAGATGCCCAAACTTTTTTAAATACTTGGGTCATAATAAATTCAGTTGTAAAATTTGTAGTAGATATATGGAGAAGAAGCGCTGCTTGTTTTCTTGTCGAAGTTACTACCTACTCTAAAGCCGCGTCTCCACCAAAATTTTGTTGTCAACACAACATTTGCTAACAAAACTTGTTTCGATTTTCGGCGGCAATATCAAAGGAATACGCTTATTACTAACATTTGTTCCCTTGGTGGAGACGCTTGTTAACAGAAACATTTGTTGACAAAACGTGTTGGCAAATGTTGTGTTGACAACAAAACTTTGGTGGAGACGCGCCATAAGACCAGACGCTAGGCAGTTTGATAAACGATAGCCGTCTTTGACCACGTTTCTCGTTTTGATCTGGGTATTTTGCATCAGTTATAATTTTTTTTTATAATAAGATAAACAAGCAAGCATACAGTCCACCTGATGGTAAGCTGCTATGTCCCCTATATACCTACATCGACATCTATATTTGATTAAAAATCAAAATGTATTGTCTCCCCTGAAAACTATGATGAAATGCCTCGTTTACGACGGTGGTAAACTATTTCACAGAGAGGTTGTACGCGGAAGAAAACTCCTGGTTAAACTTATAATAAAATATTCATATATAATATATGTATATTAAAAAACATATGTAGGTATACATATGTTTTTTAATATATACATATGTTTCACAAACGCACATCGCGACAAAATTCCCGATACCATCCATACCATCTGGACGCTTGGTGGTAGAGCACTGTACGTTACACTAGAAGTATTCTTCCTCGTACAACCTCTCTGTGGCATAGTTTACCACCGTCGATTATTCCGAAACGATACGACTCAGGGGCCTTCAAGAAAAGAGCTTACTCGTTTCTAAAAGGCCGGCAACGCACTTGAAAAGACCCTGGTGTTGCAGTTGTTCATGGGCGGCGGCAGTCACTTACCATCAGGTGAGCCTTATGCTGGTTTGCCGTCTCTCCTATAAAAAAAATGTACCTACAATGTAGGTACTGTACTTGACGTGTAAATGTACGTAAACACAAATAATCACACAAAACCTAAGTAAGGTTATTCTAACATGGGATTTAGTAAAATAAGTAGGTATATAGCGGAATATAGGGTAAAATTCTGATAGTTGCCTCAGACGGATAGGTACATGTCCCGGTTTTGAATATACTATGTTAGGAATATAAGTTGAGTTAGCGCTTGACTACAATAACAAGTTACCCCCGCAGGCCTCAGTGCCGTGTAATCCATCGGAGTAAGTCCAAGTGTTTTGTCCGTATGAGCGAAAATCTTCCGCGGCGAAACTTTGACAGGCGCTGAAATTATTTTGGAAGTAATTTTTATTGAATATTTTTATTACTGATCGTGTTTTCAGTCAATTTTTAGTTTCTTTGCATGCATTAGAGTTAAAATTAGATTCTTTATTCTGTGTTATTGCTAAATAGTTTTTATTTTGTAAATAAAAAGGGCAAGTATCCGCATCAAAAAATGGTCGCCCTACTTATTTTCGCGGATAGTTGCCCCTAGAGTGACTGAATACTTTAACGAGCAAAGGCACATTTTTTCTTTTCTTATTTTTTCTCATTTACTATGACTATAACTTGATTTAGACAAAATGAATTCTTAACTGTTTCATATATTCATCCTAGGTGAGCGATATGCCTCGGAACTATAAGCGAAAACCAAGCGTGGTGCCACGCCACATCAGCTGGGCAGAAGAGAGCTAGCACTTTAAGATAAATGCTTATTAATAACTTACATAACTTTAAATTTGAATATTTTTATATTTTAAAACATAACAAAATGAAAAATATTTAAAAATATTAATTAATATTTTAAGTTGTAGGTACATACTTAATTAAAGATCTCAGTAAATTATAAAGACTGATAAATAAATAATATTACTTAAATTAATATAAATTTTTAAGCGTCAGCTGAAATACTGCTAAGTAGAATAAGTAAGCCTTTTGTATTTATTGTTTAATGACTGTATGGTGTGCAAATAAATATATATTAATATTATAATCTAGAATAAGTACAACAAAGTTTAAAAAGTATAACATCGATTAAAATTTAAAAATAAAGTAAAAGTCCAAAAATTCTTCACTGCAGATATTAATGAATTATTTCTCCAAAGGCAGTAAAGCTGGACGGAACTACGCTGTTCGAGGTTGGCGGACTTCATTTATAAAACCGAAGAGACGAACGATCATACAGTCCACCTGATTGTTAGTGGCTTCAGCCCTTGGACACCTGCTTGCAACCAACTTATACAAAAGAGATTAGAACGAGAGAAGGTTCTCACATGTGTGGACTAAGCTGGAATGCCTCATAACCTAAAAGTATACCGGCTGTATTTATCCTTGAGATAAAAACAGGGCAGAGCAAGCACTGCTTTTTGGCGGTAGAAATGTCTAAGAAGGTGGTAATAAGGCGTCCTACTATCTAAATAGCGTGTTTAAAATCGTTGTTTTGATTTTTTTTTAATTTTCCAAGTATGCGGGTTTTCTCATACTGTTTTCCTCGACTGCTGAGCGTAATATGGTAGATCACTTACTTCGCCTATTATGAAAATTAGGATTTGATATATACATTTTTATATTCTGAATGTGCTCGTTCACTTTAGACAAAACAAAGATACAAAAAGGTGAATGTAACTCATGATACTTTATAGATAAAAAATATATGTAGTAAGTCTAAAACCGAATTTATTATCCACAATATACCGTAAAAAATATTCAAACTCGCGTCAAATTTATCTAACCACTAGGTATTTTTACGTGGTAGAGCCATGCTGCAGCTATATTAGTAGTACCTACAGTTGTAGCACGAATGGGTCGGCTCGACCGGAGACGCTATCACAAAATACCAGCGTTAAATAGCAGCTTTACCCTTTTTACTGGAAAAGAGGCATTCCATCTTAGTCCTCACGGGTGACAACGCATTTGCATTTTGATTCGCAGACGAGGATATATGTCTATGGGCCACAGCAACCACTTACCATCAGGTGGACTGTGTGCTCGTTTGTCGCCCTATCCTATAAAAAAAGGTATTTCCATTAGTTTTGTCCTAATTGGTCACTTGATTTGTCCTAAATTTTAATCTTTCTAACTATTAAAGATGTCTGCCATAGGCAAATTTCTACAAGGAATTATTTTCACGGGCAACCATACCTTGCTGTATGATGGCGGCGTGAGAGTATCCATCACCAACAAATCTTTCCGCAGAAATTCCTAATTCCTTTGGAAGACCGGCGACCTGGAGCAGCCTCAAACATACAAGACATTGGGTACCTATTACGTTCACGACACCGCTTACAAGTTAAAGTATCGAGAATTTTGCCGCGATGTGCGTACGTGAAACATATGTATACCTACATATGTTATTTAATATACATATATAAATGCGTGTGTGTGTGTGTGTGTGTGTGTGTGTGTATTGTATATGTGTAAAATAAATAAATATAGTAGGAATAATGTCGGTTAGATTGTTGCTGATACTATAGTAGGTACTAGGTACTCTATATTTTTATAGTATCATATTATAGTCATCTCTCTTCTTCCAATTAACCTAAAATACAATTTATTTAAATATGATATAAAAACATAAATTGTTTTGTCGCCATTGTAGCGATATAAGAAAATTTATAACCCAATCACATCCCATGAATATCGTAAGAAGCTACTGAGGGGATTGCCTATAAGATCGTGTTCCCTAAAGTATAACCAGAGGTAAAATACTCACACTGGCGACGGGAATAGCATCAAAGATGCGCAACCTCCAACGCGTCTGCAAAGCCGCGATTACGGCTAATCATCCCTCAGGGATGGCTAGAAGAAACAATCTTTACTAAATTTGTAATCACGAATCACTAAAAAAAATTATTATAAGTATATAAACTGTCGATGAAATATTAATTGAAATTTTAAGTGCTGATTTATCTCATAGATATTTGACGGTGAAGGAAAACATATTTGAGGAATTACGTATTTCGAGGACATGTAATATTTGGTCCATAGTCCTTTCAGAAATGAAAGGTCTGTGCCCAGCATTGAGGGGTATATTTAGGCTGTATTACGATAAATACAATAAGCACATACTAATTAGGTTAAATAGGTAATAAAATATAAGGAAAATGTTGCTTGTGGAGTAACTGTACATAACCGTCCCCATATCCCACACAGAACTATAGGTGAAACTGCGGAACATCCATCGAACTCCCGGCACCTATTAATAACAATCGTTCCCAATCATTTCAGCTCTCTCTCACACCGACATCAATAAGTATCCACTTCTTTAATCATTGCAATTTCGAAACAAGCTCAAGTGTTGGTGTCGAATAAATTTTGTATAATGTAAACGTGATAACAATTTAAATTCTTCTGTAACGGGTCCAGTGCCGACAAAAACAACAAACAAAGCCGGCGAGACGCGATTGGTGCGGCGCTACAGGGCGGCGCCCGGTGCTCGGCCCCTCCCGGCACGCATGCTCCCTCTCTCGCCCAGTCCATGCCTTCCATTACGTTGCGAGAGACGTGCTACCTCATGTTCATAAACCGACGCGACAAAGTCAATAATAACATACAAATAGTGTAAAAACGATGCCGCGACCCACACGCGAGTCCTATGGTGACCAGAAGCCACCATTTTCATACATCGCCTTGACCGCTATGGCAATTTGGAGCTCGCCAGAGCGTATGCTACCGCTGTCGGAGATCTACCGCTTCATCACGGACAGGTTCCCGTACTATCGGCGCAACACCCAGCGCTGGCAGAACTCGCTGCGGCACAACCTATCTTTCAACGACTGCTTCGTGAAGGTGCCGCGGCGACCAGACCGTCCGGGCAAAGGCGCCTACTGGACGTTGCATCCGCAGGCCTTCGACATGTTCGAAAATGGATCGCTACTTCGCCGCAGAAAGCGCTTTAAGCTACATAAAGGAGAGAAAGACAGTTTGAATGCCGAATTAGCAGCGTTAGCCACCTTCAACAGGGCGTTTTTGGCGCGTCAAGCCAACGCCCCTTTACCGGCGGCAAATTTATCAAGTAGCATGTATGCACCTGCCGTGACAATTTGTTCGAGGCCTAGCCCTGAGCCAATTGAAGCACCGGATACAGCTGCTTTACTGCCGACTTATCCTCGACCGCGAAGGGCATTTACTATAGATGCTCTCCTCGGACCCGAGCCGAGTAGATCGTCACCGTCACCGCCGCCACCTCAACCACAATGTCCCCTAGCTTTGCCGCCCGCGCCATATCTGTTAGCAGCACAGAGGTACCATGCAGAGCTGCTAGCGGGTCTACAACAGTCCTGTCTACCTCCTCTTTGGACGTGGCGGGATACCAGCCAATTCACACATTATACGCTTAATTCATGAATGGTAAGTTGATATTTGTTTACAAAAGTAATTGACACAACTATTAAATGCTGATAACATAATATTTTTCCTTTTGAAAGTGTTTTGCAAATCTGACCTTCGCCATTATATCTACCCCCAGCTTTTGATAAGTTTATATTTAAACAAAACCAACTAATCACACTTCTACTAGATGGAGTGAGTTGGATGGATGGATGCAGGTAGCTCAGGACCGTGCTTTGTGGCATTCCTTGGAGGAGACCTATGTTCAGCAGTGGACTTGTGAAGGGCTGTAATGATGATGATGATGAACCATAGATAAAGAACGTTGTCGTGAAAAAAGAGAAGCGATTTAAAAGTTAATATTTTTGTATTAAATAAATTTAAAATTTCCCACAAAGTAAAAAACAGAGCTTGTTATATGATTATATTTTGTTATTATTTTATGTATTATTAACGTCAAAATCGGTTTTTATTGAGTATCTAGAATTCAATGGAAACGTTATAGTAAAGTTATGGATGTATATCTACTATTTGTTCATTGAAAATTAGGACCGGAATTTCTTACTTGTTAATAAAAAAACGCATTACAAAAAATTACGTTTTTAACAGTTTCCCTGTCCGCGAAAAAGACAATAGATAAACAATCAAAATGTTCACAGTAAAATGGTTAAAATTGCAGTATTTACGACCAAACTATACTTTTTAAGTTACACATTTTACCTTATCCACTACCCAATATCATACCGTGGGTGTCGTAAGAGGCGACAGGGGGAACAAATCAGGAGATGGGCAGCAGCGTCTTCCTAATAACGACTAAAACTAAAAACCTGCCGTTGCCAACCCGCTAGCCATGCGTGACAACTACGGCAAATATCATCCCTGTGAGGCAAGGCTAGAGGGGGAGGCCTATGTTCAGCAGTGGTCTTTAATAGGCTGTAACAGTAAAGGTTAGTTTTTGCTTCCAAGCAGTTTCTAAAATAAATTTTGTAAATAGTTCGTAATCATTTATATTGTAAAATTTATTTAAAAAAAAGTTCCACTGGGTTTCTTGCTGGTTCTTCCCAGGACAGAGGGTTTTTTTCGAACCAGTGGTAAAGTAAAAAATGACGTTCAATAAGAATTACACATATAATGTATTATGAATAAAAAAAATATTCTATTCAATTACCATATTTTGTATGTGTCAATGTTTAAGAGAACAGATAACTGTACAAACTCGTTAACACTAAGGATAATGAAAAATCACAAATATAAAATCAATAGGAAGTAGAAAAAAGAAAAGAAGCTCGTCTGCGTAGTACTACTATCTTACCTGTTTCCGCGAAGCAGCAAGCTTATTACAAAACGTACGGTTTATTTTTAGGTTAGGAAATCAAACTAAACAACAAAATAATTACTTAATTACGTAAGTTGTAACGCAATTAAAGGCCGTAAGCGTGCCAATGTCGTAAGAGGCGACACAGGGAAACTGAAACAAGAGACGGACAGTAGCATTTTCTGATTAAAATTAAAAAAAAAACTGCAGATGGCAAATTTGGCAAACCCCATAGATTGCCTCATAGGGGCGATATTCTTATACTAAACGGTGGATTTTGGATTAACTGTAATGATGATGATGATGTAATTATGACTGGTTCTATCATAATAAACCGGTAAACAGCAGTGAGTGCACTGCAGCTTGCTGGCAGAAATAGATTAAAAGGTGGAGCACACAGTTTCATTTCTCTGTGTCGCCTCTTACGACACCCACGTGGCTACTACAAAGTATGCTGTGAGGCTGTCTTGGTCCTCAGGGGTGACAGTGAAGTGCTGTGTTTCGTATGGTGAGTGTAGAGTACCGAAGACCCTTTTTACTGGAATAGAGGCATTCCATCTTAGTCCTCACGGCTGACAACGCATCTGCATTTTAATTCGCAAACGAGGATAGATGTAGATGTCTTTAGGCCACAGTAACCACTTACCATCTGGTGGACTGGGTGCTCGCTTGTCATCCATATCTTATTAAAAAAAACTAAAATGGAATGTCTCACAGCCTGCAATTTATACTAACCCTCTATACCCTTCAGAGCCGAACACAGCGATACACACACACACACACACACAGACACACACACACACAGAGAGAGAGAGAGAAAGAGACACACACACACACAGACACACACACACACACACACACAGAGAGAGAGAGAGAGAGAGAGAGAGAGACAGAGAGAGACACACACACACACTGCTGCTTGGTAACAAAATAAGTAAGGCGATGGTACATACCCAGGCTAATTACTTCAGAGCCGAACACAGCGATACATACACACACACACGCGAACATACACAGAGAGAGAGAGACACACACCCACCCACACACACACTGCTGCTTGGTAACAAAATAAGTAAAACGATGGTACATACCCAGGCTAATTACTTCAGAGCCGAACACATCGATACACACACATACACACACATACACACACACACACACACACACACACACACACAGAGAGAGAGAGAGAGAGAGAGAGAGAGAGAGAGAGACAGACAGAGACACACACACACACACACACACACACACACACACACACACACACTGCTGCTTGGTAACAAAATAAGTAAGGCGATGGTACATACCCAGGCTAATTACTAAGCAGAAAAGGAGTCCTTCCATATAGATCTCTAATTCAACTCTGTTAGTACCATTCGAAACATCTGTACCTACCTATCTTTTTGTTATATTATAACTACGTTTCCTAATTTGTTATTCTAAATGTTAAAAGAATAGTAACTAAGGAAATGACAAGTGCACATTTAAGTTCCTTGTTTTCGAAGCGCCATACATAACTTCCTTTTTCAGAATGTTATGTTTTGCGTTATATAAAATACAGTCTATAACATTAAGTTGTTCGTGAAGTTTATTATAAGAAAGTAAAAAAGCAACAGTGTTGCTAAAAATGGAGTAGTGTCATAATTCGTAACAATAATAAAAATAGTCACGAATGTTGGCTCCGTAATTGAAAAGCGCTACCGTAGTCCTCGCAATTTGATGAATCAGGAAAACATGCCGGTCATACGATCTTGATATTCATAAAATGTTTACCTAGACGTAATATACATAATCTAAAAATAATATAAAAACGTATATTACATATATGTTTTTAGATTATGAATGAGTAAAAAAAGATTTTGTATTATTATTGTTAGGTACGTAAGGGTAATAGATATGGTCACCTTAAGCTTTGTCGCCTTATAAAACCAAAACTAGGAGGAGGACAGATGCAAAAACATAAAGTCGTATGGTATAACTAATATAATTATTAAGAAAAAAAATAGCAACCAAGCTTTGGCAAGGCAATAATTAGGAACATTTCAAAAAGTCAACTTAAAAAAAAACTAAGTACACTATACTATATATATATATATATATATATATATATATATATATATATATATATATAAGTACATAATACTAATATCGACTAAAATATTAACCATAATGTCAACTGTCATAATGTCGTCGATAAAGCGGCGGCCTTTTGACCCTTTATTATTTGATTGACTGATGAAGAGCTATCATGTCACAAAGACATCTATGCAAACAAGACTATAGTTTTTGAGCTATAAGAAAGTGACCATATTAACCGGATGACCATATTACCCTCACGTATAATAGTTCTAACATTTTCTTAGTTAGTTTGTAATAAAACTGGGTTGATAATTACTACTGCAGTAGTAATCCAAGTGATTACCATGCGCGTCCTAGGTTATGAGTAGTTCTCTCTTGAGATCAATTTGCTAACTATTCAACAATTATTAAAACTGGTTTTTGTAGTTGAATATATTATGTTAGTTTTGGTTAAAGTTTTAAATTATTAATAAAGCGAATTTGCTTTACACCGGTCGTAGATTGGAAGATAAAGACAATAAAAACATTATTTCAATTTCACATCCTAGTGTGAAACTTTAAATCGATGTCTACTTAGGTATATATTTTTCCATTAATTGTAGTCTGTAATTTATAGTATATCTAATATAGGTATAAAATAAATATTTATTTGTTCGTATTTTACGCGTAGTCATACCGTTCATCAGATGGCAGTAAAACTTTGTTTACTTATTGCTTGCACTCGTGCGAAGGTTATAGGCATAGTAAAATTAACTTACAGTAGGTTACGCGCATATCGTACTGAAAAATTTATTTGAAAATCCTATATAACAATACAATACAAAATTTAAATTCAACAATTTCAATGAACGTATTAATATTCCTAATGAAACAAAATAACTGTTCCAAATTTAAAAGGATATTTCCACAATTATTTCTTCTGCGGCAGCAACGCGCCGACTACCAGCCAGTATTACTATAAGTATTATAGTTCGTAGAACTCCTTTTCTGCCGAATTCCAAAAAGGAGACGGTACTCAATTCGTCTATGTTTTTTTTATGTGTGTTACCTTATAACTTTGTATTTTTTTTTATAGAATAGGGGGCAAACGAGCATGCGTCTCACCTGATGATAAGTGACTACCGCCGCCCATAGTGACTACCGCCACCCATAGTGACTACCGCTTGTACTGGGTGAACCGATTTCGATGATTCTTTTTTATGAAATGAAAGCTGATACTTCTCGTGTGGTCCCATATGAATTTGATGAAGGTCAGACCAATAGTTTTTGAGTTATTCTTAAATAACTTATATTGAAGTCGGCTGTACAAAATTTTTAATTTTAAATTATTTGCCAAGGTGTCTGGGTGGATACCAGTCTCTTACCTATTTCTGCCGAAAAATAGCAGTGCTTACACTGTGTCCATGTCTGAAGGGTCTAAAGAGCCAGTATAGTTACAGGCTGTGTGACATTCCATCTTAGTCTTTAGTAGTAAGCTAGTAAGAACGCATCAGTTAACTTTTTTTGACGAGGTGTCAGTGCGATGAGGTAACTACTTACCATCAGGTGGATTGTAAGTTTGTTTGTTATTTTTGTTTTATAAAAGAAATGATTTAGGTATAGCAATGTCAATAATATGAGCAAA